TTGATATTTAAATTCTTCACGTCACGTCACGTCTCTCAAATTTCCAGATCGATCATTACAAAAAATTTGGGGCATGTTTTAATCTCGAAAGAAACAATGAGATAAATCTTGAATGAATGTTTCATAGATGTTTGAACTGCAGTTGATTCTTATTGCTTAAAACAAGCAAAGAATGCGCTAGAATTTTGAGCATGAGTGTAATAAACATTTTGAGAAAATTAAAGTACAATTTTTCAGCCAACTTTGCTCAGAGTATACACGACAATTGCAGTTCGATTTTGTAATAACTTTATTTATCAAGATTTATTCGTTCGCTATTTTCAGCAATTAATATTGTTCTTTTGTCATTGTAATTCATTTCGTCCATTAGTAATATTCTTTTTTAACTATTTATACAACTCTGAATATTTTTGTACCTTGAATATTTTCAATAATGTGAGAAAATTTCATAATACTTCGTACAATAATTAATCGTAATATTTTATAATTAACTCGACTTTGAACGACTTTGATTACAGCTCGTTGCGCTCGAGTCTCAAACCCGGTTAAGAATATCTTGGTTAAAAAAAATAGGCGATTTTCAAGCAATATCCATTTACATAAAAAATGTACTATGCAGAATTCAAATTATATGAAACTTTTTTCATGTTATTACGAATAACAAAAATATCCAAGGTGGACTGAATTATCTCGCGTACGTTAGCAACTAATTTTAATTTCGTTCGATTGAAAATATCCCAACTATTAAATTCTCTCAACACTTTTGCAATCTGTAATATTATACACTCACTTGACGTCGGTCATCTTTGTCAAATGAATTATCAATCGAATTACTGCCTTCAGTTCGATTTCGGCGTTTCAATCGACTTGACTGACATGAAATTTATTTCTATTTTACATTCGGATCAAAGATAGGCAAAGTTCTCCGAGCAGGAAAAACACAAATTGATTCAACGATAGACAGTGCAAGATACGGCACTTAACCCGAGACGTCAGCTCGCAGTTTCGCTCGACTACACAACTGTGCTGCTCGCGACAACGACGACGAAACACCGTCCGAAGTTGCACCGTCGAGCGTGGCATTTCCGCCACGGGGTGAAAATCCCTCTTCCCAAGGATGGGACGTCCTGTCGTGTCCCATTCTAAAGACTGTATGCGCCGCGGCAGCGAGAAACGCGTCAAACTATGCCGGGGTCACAAAAGTTCCCCTTTCATTGCCGTGAGATCGCGATTGTCCAGCCAGATTGTATTCCGATCTGCCTTTCGTCTTCTGCTCAACTTCGAAATTAGCGCGCAAGCTTTTCCCAGCGTTTCTCTGCTTCGGCCGCTGCGACGTGGAAACGTGTCGGCATGCACGAAATGACCGCGAAGCGGAGAGGAAAGGCCAACAAATCGGTTGATGTTGACAGAAATTGACTGTGCATTTGATAAACGTTGGCGTAATCGGAAATGAAAAACCCGATAAAGAAGTAGCTCACTTATCGATTCCCCTCGGTTACATTACATCAACAGTTGTTTAGCTTCACATACGCGTGAATAATAAATAATTTATTATATAATTAATATTATAAGATTTGAATAAAATTCTAAAGATTTATTCAAAGTATTTTTTTATTAGAAACAAATTATAATATAAGATAAAGTTTATAGTGATATATTTAAATATGAAAATTTACTTTGAAATTAAAATTATATAAATTTCTTAGAATCAAAATAATAATAAAAATAAATAAGTTAATGTAAACTTATATATATATAATATATTTGTATAATATTATATATTTATATAATACTCAGATTCAAGTAGAGAATCGAGGCTGCGTTGATGAAAAGAACACATCAACGTGGAAAAAGCAACGCGTTGCAGATGATTTTAAAGAATAATCTTAAAAAGTCGTAGATGTGCGGCCGTCAAAGTGTTAAGACAGAAGATCAAAGGAAACTGAAACGACAAATGGAAATCCTCGTGTAAATTGCTAACAACAATCGGAAAATGAATTTTTTAAGAATACGACCAAGTTATAATCTCAAGGATCATACAAAACTCACCCACCAGTATTTCCTCAACAAAGAAAATCCCTCAATTTGTAATTTGTGCAAAGTTCAACTGACAGTAACGTATTATTGTGGAGGAAATACTATGCGAATAGACATCAACTGAACATAAGTTCTTCCCAAGAATGACAAACCAAAGGATAAAGAAGCGATTTTAAAACTAATACAGTCTTTCTAAGACAGTCTTTATAATAAAATGTAAGATTTAGTTCCAAGTGGATTGATGCGACTTCAAATAATGAAAATAAAGCAAAAAAAAAAAAGAACATGGATGTCATTCGTTTGAAATGATCTCGAAAAAAAAAAGATTCTTCTCTTCTTGAAATATCCAAAACTGGTTTATTTCAACCAGTGTTTCACAGGCTTTAAAAGCTCCTCTTTCGTACAATTCGATCATCTGGACGTCC